TTGCCCAAAGTTACAAACACTTCTTGAAATAGTTTTGTCAGATTCACTTTGTCACTTCCCATTTGGTCTCCAATCTACTCTTATTTGACTTTTGTTCTCATTTCCCCACCCAAACTCCTTTGTCCGAGTCACTACCCAGAGGTCATCAGTTGAATCTCATCTTACTTAGCCTTTGAGTAGCATTCATTTACTTCTCCTAGAAATGCTTTCCTTCTTATATTCTGTGGAGCTACACTTTCCTGTTTCCCTCTACATCTCTTGTCAACTTTTTAGTCCCCTCCCAACTTTAGCTACTTTTAAATGTATGGTGTCCCAGTGCTCTGTTCTGGCCACTATTTATACATTGTCTTTAGATGATCTCATCTAATCTTATAGGTCCCAACTTTATATGCCCCTTCTCTTCTCTAGACTCCATACCCAGAAACCCAATTTCTTATTTGACATATGTACTTTGATATTCAAGAGGTTTTTCAAACACAACATGGCTAAAAAAGAACTCTTGATTTTCATCTTCCTCTCTTCCCTTCCTCAAACCTGTTCATGTCAGGAAGTTAATATCACCTGGTTACTTGAATCAACTCTAGGAATCTTTCCTCATTGTCTTTTGTTATCATCCCCATCCATCTAATTTATTACAAACTTAATTCACGTGGAACCTGCTGATGTCTCTCCATCTCTGCTGTTACCACCATAGTTCAAGCCACGATCACCTTTCACCTGGACCACTGCAATAACCTTCTAACAGGGCACACTACTTGTCCTTCCATAATTCATTTTACAAAAGTCAAATAATGTCAGCCTTTCATTTAAAAGCCAGGTGAATTAAAGCCAGGTGTGGTGGCACACACTTATGGTCCTGGCTACTTAGGAGGCTGAGGCAGGATTTTGGGCCAGCCTAGGCAATTTTGTGAGACCCTGTCTCAACATAAAAATGGCTGGGGATGTAGCTCATTGATAAAGCACCCTGGGTTAAATCCCTAATATATGCAAAAAAATAAATAATTAAAATGAAAGCCTTTGGTGGCTTAAGCCAATTCAACTTATGTTTTTTCAGCTTGATTGTGTGAAAGTAATACACATTCAGTATTAGTATCAAGTTTTGAATTTTGATTATTTTTCCTGGGCTAACTTTAGGTGGTGTGATATTCTTTTGCCATATGTTGGGCAGGATCAGTGAGCTGCAATTCCCAGTTGGCCACATGATCACGATACTCTGTAATCCACTGTGCTGCTAATCTATGGTGTTCAGTAGGTTCCATGTAGTAAGTGCATTTTCCATTTTCAAAATATGATGGGTTATCAGGATGTCATCCCATCATTAATCAAGGAGCATCTTTCTTAACTCCTGATACCTTGTGATACCACTGTCTCAGGTTTAGTACACTGCAACACATTATTCCTAAAACACACTAAGCTTGTTTCCATTTCAAATCCTTTGCACTTGCTATTTTCTCTGTCAGGCTTCTAAAATGACTGAATCCTTTTAATAAGTCAAATCTCATTCACCATGACCATTTATTAGCAATCTTGTTAAATCTGCCTCCAGAATAGATTCCGAATCCTACAAAATTCTGTCTTCACTAGAGCTGCCGTGAATTTTAGGGCTCATTGACGGTATCCCTCAACACATTTACTAGTCTCTTTGAAGTTATGTGTAGCCATGTCACTAGTTATAGCCAATATAAATGTAAATGGCACACATCACTTCTAAATCCAGATTCTTTTCTTTCCAGATCTGGGTAACTGTAAGACCTGGTTTAGAGATGACACAGCCATGACAGTTTATATATGTTGTTCACCATTTTGTAGGGAGCTATTCTGGAATGTCTTAGGAATTGCCCTGGACTTTGATTCTATATTTTTTGTGCTCTTCATATTTTTATTTTTGTTCTGTTCAAAATATTTTCTAGGGCTGGGATTGTGGCTCAGTGGTAGAGCTCTCACTTAGCATTTTCAAGGCCCTGGGTTCGATCCTGAGCACCACATAAAAATAGATAAAATAAAGATATTAAAAAAATATTTTCTAATTTTCCTGCAATTTCTTGACCAATGTGTTATTTGAAGTGTGTGTTAACAAGTGTTTGAACATTTCCAATTACTGTATTGATTTCTAGGTTAACTGCATTATAATCAGAGCATATTGTTTTATGATTTCAATTATTTAACTTTGTTGAGATTTGTTTGTTTTATGATCTAGAATAAGATCTGTCTTGGTGAGTGTTCATGTGCACTTAAAATGAAAATACATTCTGTTCTTGTTGGGTGGAGTGTTCTATAAGTGTCAAGTAGATTCAGATGGTTAATGATCTGTTCTGATTTTTCTTGATTTTTTGTCTATTCATTTTATTATTCAGAGTGTAGTGTTGAAGTCTTCAACTATAATTGTACATCCCATTAGGATTGTTATGTCTTCTCAGCAAATTAATCTTTTTTTTAATCACTTTGTAATGTCCTTCTTTGGTAATTTTCTTTGCTCAGAATTCTACTCTAGTGTTAATATAATCAGCCACTTAAGTTTTACTTAAAAATATTTATTTTTATGCCTTTTCCCATGGCTGTGCTGATTCTTTTTTGATCTGTGGGGATAAATACATAACATTTACTTTTTAAAAGCCATTTTAAAGTGTATGGTTGTGTAACATTAAGTAGATTCAAATTATTGTGCAATAGACATTGTGGTTTAGATACAAGGTATCTCCCAAAAGCTCATATGTGAGACAATGCAAACATGTTCAGAGGTAAAATGATTAGGTCATTATATTTCTGATATAATCCACTGATAGGGATTAACTGGGTGGTAACTATAGGCAGGTAGGGTGTGGCTGGAGGAGGTGTCACTGGGGGCATGCAGTTGGTCCCTGGTGAGTGCAGCTCTCTGCTTCCTTCTTGCCATGCCTTTCTGCCATGATGTTCTCCCTCAACTTGGACCCAGAGGTATGAAGTTGGCCATGTATAGACTGAAATCTCTGAAACTGTAAGCCCCAAATAAACTTTCCCTCCTCTTTGTTGTTCTTGTTGGGTCTCTTGGTCACAGCAATGAAAAGATAGATGAAAACAAGATCTCTAGAACTTTTCTCCATCTTGAAAAACTAAAACTTATATCCATTGAATAACTCCTCATATAACATTTATATTTAATGTTTGGCTTTAGATGTAAGGATCTGGAAAATAGTAAGCACTTATGATTTGTGTAATTATAGAAATTTTATAAGATCAGCCATGCAGGTAATCCCAGTGGCTCGGGAAGCTGAGGCAAGAGGCTCCTCAGCAAAAGCAAGGTGTCAAACAACTCAGTGAGACCCTTCTCTAAATAAAAAATACAAAATAGGGCTGGGGATGTGGCTCAGTGGCTGAGTGCTTCTGAGTTCAATCCCCAGTACCAAAAAAGAAAAAAAAAATTATAAGAGAAATTTTATAAGATCAAACCTTTCTAAGGACACCAGTCATTACATTCTGTCACTTAGCTTAGAATTTATAAAGTTTAAGATTTTAAACTTAACTCACTCTATATAAAATATAATATTATCATTAATTTAATGTAAAATCAGAAAACACAGCACTGTTTTTAAATAAACATATCAATCTGGTCATTAAACATAGGTCAACCTTTACAAATTGTACAATATTTTTAATTTTGGACATACCATAATTTTTCTAAATATGCTACCACTGTTTTAAGTCTTTTGCTGTTATAATTAATAGGTAGTATGGGTTGGCATAGAAATTTAATTTTTAATTTTTTAAAAGGTTACATATATAAATGCAAACAATAGAGTAATTTTTCCTACAATTACTCTATTGGAATCCTTGTTCTTCACATTATATTATGCTGCCTTCACTACAAATAATCAAGGACTCAGTGGTTTTTGTTTTTTCTTCCTTGAAACCACTTTATTCATTTCAGCTTGGTTTGATACAGAAGCCATTCTCCTTTTGTCCTACTAGTATATCTTCAGGAAATCATAAATTCATTATCCAATGTGTAATTCATGAGTTCATCTATGGCATGAAATAACACTATAGTAGCAAATACACACTCATGGCCAAAGTAGTAAGTAGGCACTTAGTGCTTGACACTGAAAACCTTGTTCTGTGTAAAACATCGCAGGTGTATAGTGTGCATATTTATGCTAGAGGAAATGGTCATGAACAAGCTTAATGCCAAACGGAATAACTTGAGCTTATCTTGTTTAAGTTCCCAGCTCTTATGAATTTCCTCCAGTGAGCAAGAAATGCAACATCCGTTCTGGTAGGTCTCCTTATTTCTTAATGTTAACACTGGCAGCACTCTCAGGAGCCTCTTGTCCTCTTAGCCACTCAGTGTCCATGTTCTCTTCGTCTCAGAATCTTCCACATTGCTCCTTTTTTCTGGACACGATGGTTTGATGGATAGTCGAGGAGAGGGGTTCCCAAGCCATTATCACTTACCTGCCTTAGGTCGATGGTGTACTTCTCTCCATTAGCCCACCCAGCTCAACAGATCCCCAGTTTCTCCTGTTTCTTTCTTTCTTCCTCTTGAGCCTCTTGGTTCCGAGATGCTCCGGGAGAGGGTGTTAAGTGCTCAATTCTAGGTGCCGCAAATCCCCCGTCAGACTTCCTGGGACCCCATTTGGCCTTCCCAGTCTGGGCGCAGCAGCTGCACCTTTCAACTCGGATTGCTCCAGTCCTCCGCCCTGCCAACCTGGCCGGTCGGGCGGGGACTGGCCCAAAAGCGCTCTCGCGGCCCGCGCATGCGGACTCGGCGGCCGCAGCCCAGACTCGGGGCCGCCTTACTCCCGCTGGCCGCAGCGGTTTGGGGCCGGCTGACAGTTCCACCACCGGAGGACGCAGCCTTGTCTCGTGCTTCCACGTTACCCTATCAGAGCCGGGGCGGGGCGGCCGCCTCCGCAGCCTATCAGCGCCAACCACGACCCAGGCGAGCCCAGTAGGACAGCGACCTGCCGGAAGGCGATTGGACGGTGGCGGCGCTCGGGGCGTAGCGTCGCCGGGGCCCCGCCCACCGCTGCCTTCCTCGGTGGGCGCCAGTCGCCTCTGAGGCCTGACTGAGAGCCGACCGCGGGCGGCGGGCGTTGCTGCTGCCTGGGCGCCAGCGCGGGCTGGTGGGCCCCGCACCATTCCTGCTCCTCACCCGCCGCGCCCTCGGACATGGTGGCCCCCGGCTCTGTGACCAGCCGGCTGGGCGCGGTGTTCCCCTTCCTGCTGGTCCTGGTGGACCTGCAGTACGAAGGTGAGTCCTGCTCTGCCCTCCGGGGCAGGGGCTCCCGGGCCAGGGCCCCCGCCGCGACTTTCGGGAAGGCGGGCGGGAGCCGGGGCTCGGCGCCGCGACCTGGGCTTGAGCCGGGCTTGGGCGGGGGCCGGCGCCCGGTTCCGGGTTTGGCTGGGGGAAAAGGCGAGGGCGCTGGGGGCCGCGAGGCCAGGACAGAGGGTGCGGAGTGAGGAGTGGGGCCGCCCGGGTCCCGGGCAGCGTGGCAGGGAATAGGGCACAGGGCAGCGACTTCAGGAGCGTCCTGGGACGCGGAGACCCGCGCTTCCATCGGGTCCGGCCTCGCTTGGGACTCTCGCTTGGCGCCTGGGGACTCTGTTGGTCAGTGGCTCTGGGAGGGGGCTATAAAGGTGGCCAAAATGGGAGGCTTCTTTGGCTTTGGAGTTCCCAGGTGGCAGGGGGTGGCGTGTTACGTTTGGCCGGGAGACGTGAAGGGGACAGCATTGACTGTTTAAAAAAAGTGAGTGACCGTCACGTTAGGACCCTTGTGCCGGGCTTAGAAGTTGTTAGGTCAGTGCATCCAGAGTCGGTGCTGGGATCTGAGCTCGCGGAGGGCAGGGCACCAAGTTTGTGGTTTACATCTACCAGTAAGGTGTCGTTCAGCCGAGGGCTGGCTTTGCTTTTCCGAGTTCTCTGAAAAAGGCCCCTTGAGAAAGATGGGAGCGCTTAAATTTCACTTCACTTGGAATGTTGCCTATTCCAACAGAATGGCGAAAATCGAGGGCTGTCCCATCTTGGGTGTCAGCAGGGAGGAGTAAGAATTAAAGCTGAAAGTGCCAATTTAATGGATGCCCCCAGCTTGACTGTTGTGCTAAATATTCGATTATAATGACATCCGATCTGTTTTCATCTCAGTAAAAGGTTATAGTTGTCAAGGAGGTCAAATTGAGCGTTTGAACATTCCATTAAGAGGGAGTGAGGAACTGAAGTTGGGAATTATTTATGGAGATATCCTATCAAAATTCTCAACTTTTACCAAAAAGTAATCCTATTCAGTTTTTAGGTCTCATTCATGGCAGTGTCTTTTTTGTTTTGCTGGTGACTATGTATGACTAAATGTATATATACATATGTGTGTGTGTGTGTATGTATATATATTTATAAAATAAATATATTATATATATATATATATATATATATATATATTTATATTACAGCCTCAAAACAGAATATGTAAGGTGACAAAGAGTTTGACAGAAGCTGCCCCAGAAAATTTAGGAAATTGGAATTTGAAGGCCTGGACCATTTTAATATGGGTTATATATTTTAGTTTCTCTTGCATTTTTATATTTTCCCCTTCCATATTTTTTATACCTTTATTTTATTTATTTATTTTTATGTGGTGCTGAGGATCGAACCCAGGGCCTAGCACATGCTAGGCAAGTGCTCTACTGCTGAGCCACAACCCCAGCCCCCCCTTCCATATTTTTTATGTGCAGTCATCAATGATTTTTTTTTGAACACCTAAGAGAAAGCTGCCTGTCTACTATGTAATGTCAGTGTTATAATTTTTTTAAAATTATAGAGGTGTGCACTTTTGTCTGATTTACTTTTTTTCCTAGCTGTGGACCACCTTTTTAGTATTTCTATTCGTTGTATGATTCTGTAATACTCTTAGCACTTCTTTTCCCTACTATGGTATATTTCATAAGAAAACCTCATTAGAGAGCTTTTTTGTGTAGGAAGAATTGGTGACATTTCTCAAAAGAGTGCCAGAGTGCTGTCTTTTTTAGAAACATTGCCTCTGTAAAGTAGCAGGGACCTGGTACAGGCAAGTTAGAGAAGAAAGGAAAGGAACCTGTAAGCTCTGTTGTTTATTGAGGTGTATGAATTATTCCTACCTTACAAATTAGGGAACTTAGGCTCAAAGAGCTTAATTAAAGTTTGCTTTGTGGGCGGACAGGAATTAAATTGTTGACAATATCATGTGGGTTTAAGCATTTCTAAGTGGTGGCAGCTGAGAAAAATCAACTTTTTCTTTCTTTCTTTCTATTTTTTTTTTGTTAGCTAGTAATTAGCAGTAATTAACAGGAAGATGATTTCCTGGCAAGTTTAATATGGTGATTCTCAAAAAGTGTATACCGGTATTTCACATCTCTTTTAAAAGCATAAAGTTATGGGTACCACTTCCAGAGTTTTAGGTTCACTAGATCTTGGTGGGGCCTGAAATTCTGCATTTCTAAGAAGATCTCAGGTGACCACACTTTAACCGCCACTGGTTAATACATTTTTCAGAGGAATTACATTAGGGATCTGCTATGCATTAAACCCTAGACTTGGAGATAGGAACAGAAAGATAAGAAAGAAATCTCTGTTTTCCCAAGTAAGTTCTGTGTCTGTGTTCATTAAACTCGAAGTTTTTAGGGAGGCCTGCCAGTCAGGTGGTGCCACTGCTAGGCCTGAGGCTTGGAGAGAGAAATTAAAAAAAAAAAAATAGTGTGAAAAGAATGGATGTGAAACAGTTTCATACTATGGAGTATGTTACTAATAATTAACTTAGATGGCCTATTTGTCTTTGCTTTATTCTAGAGTTTTCTGTTAAGTGTAATGCAGAGAAGGAAGGAGTGTATCATGAATTGAAAACTTGACTCTTAACATCCTTTTCTCAAAGGCCTTTGAAAGAAAGCCAAAGCACTAGATTAGAAATAGAATTTTTGGAGTAAAAAGAAACTTTAACATTATCTACTTTAGTATTCTCATGTTACAGATTAGAAAGGTATTTCAATTCTTTGCTAATTATTTGCTTATTCTATTTAGTGAGTTGAGTAGGAACATAGACTGAAAAACAAACCATTTTTTTTCTGTTATCAAAGTTATTTTTCTTAATATGTTGTTATCTGGGTCCATTTTTCTTTATTTTACTGAACTGAACTGATTAAGCTATATATTTTGGTCTTAGTGAAAAGAATAGTTGAAAATCTATATGCATACGAGATGGTGATAATTTTTATTTGATCCTAACCTATTAAAAGTATATATTTCCTTGACATAGTTAAATATGGAGAGTGTAAATCAAGCAGTGAAAATGAATGACTTTAAGCAGTTTATATGTATTATGTAAGAATTATAGCAGATGGTTAGGAAACTTCTAGAATTATTTTAAATTTCATAGTAAGTTAGACTATAGTTAGAAGTAGTATCAAAGTTTCACTTCATCTGAATAGTTAGCTTTTGCTGAGAGAGTGCCAGAAATACAGTAATTCTTATTTGTGGGATAGTAGGAGTTCTGAGATAGATGCTGCGTAGCAATTAAGTTTTATTTTCCCATGTGAAGTTAATTGTTTAGTCTATTGTCATGGTCTTCTTTTGATTAACTAATCAGCAATTCATTTTTGTTTACAAGGAAATATCATAGGAACCCAGTCTCCTAGTTTTTAGAACTCAAACATTTCAACCCTAAATTTACTCTCCATATCTTTAGAAATCAGTTTTTTTTTTTTTTTTTTTAAAAGGAGTCTGATTCAGTCACTCAGAGCTGTGGAATATAGAGAATATATGTCAGTTAGCAAAGGCTTGCACTTTTGTGAGGTAAACATAGTATAAAGTTAATGGTTTTGCCCTGGAGTTTATAGACTATTTGGGAATGTAAGGCAAGCATTTTGAAGTATTCATGTCCTCTTTACCCCATTTCTTAGTTTGGACTTAGTAGTCCATCATTGTAGTCACTTTATTGCAAATACCCTTTAAATTCCTGCCCTTAATTTATTGTTTGAATTTGCTCATCTGGGAAATCCCAAAATTGATTAAATCCAATTTGGCCAATTTGTTATATTCAGATTTGAATATAGATGGAGCAAAACAACTTTTTCATTTCATTCTAAGTACAATATGTCTCAAATGTACTCTCAATACTGCTAATGTTCCTACAATTCCCTAGTATATCTACTCTTTTTAAAAAATATTTATATTTATTTTTATTTTTTAGTTGCAATTGGACAATACCTTTATTTTATTTATTTTTATGTGGTGCTGAGGATTGAACCCAGGACCTTGAATGTGCTAGGTGAGCGTTCTATCACTGAGCCACAAACCCAGCCCCTAGTATGTCTATTCTTGAAAATCAGTATTTTAGTATTATGAAAAAGGCATTGTTAAATTTGCTATGCCTCCTCTCTATGAGATATACAGTCTTTGCTCTTTAATCTTATTGACAAAAACTTTTGGTAGTCAAGTTTGAATTTTTGTTCTGGAAGTTACCTTTGTACTTTAACTATTTAAAAAAAAATTCCCTAAACCCTGGTTTTTTATTTAATTTTGTTATATGAATTTGACAGTTTTTAACTATACTCTTCAAGTCTTATCTATTTCTTCTATGTTGATAAATAAGCTTGTTCTCCTTTCCTTTCTCCTTCTCCCTTCTTCAACATTTGCAGTTGTATTATTTCTGTATTGTCTCATCCTACAACATAATATATGTCTTTCAGATCTGCCAAAGAAAAAGAAAATCAGTATTTTAAACTTTTTTCTCTTTTTTAAACCTCCAATTTAAAACTCCCTTTCCTTTCTTCCCTTACCTTTTTCTTTTTTAAATTTTTTTTAATATTTATTTTTTAGTTGTAGATGGACATAGTGCCTTTATTTTATTTATTTTTATGTGGTGCTGAGGATTGAACCCAGGGCCTCACATGTGTGAAGCTAGTGCTCTACCACTGAGCTATAACCTCAGCCCCAGACCTTGTCTTTTGTCTTAAATGTTTATTTTAGTTGTAGATGAACACAATAACTTTATTTGTTTATTTTTATGTGGTGTTGAGAATTGAACCCAGTGCCTCACACGTGCTAGGGTAGGTGAATACTCTACTTCCGAGCCACAACCCCAGCCCCATAGACCTTGTCTTTATTGAGAAAGTGAAAGCCATCACAGGACAATTTCTTCAGCTTTCTACCATAACTTAGCTATACTTCATTACCATTTCTCATATTAAAATGCATAAGATCTCTGTTCCTGACAATTTTATTTCTAT